TGCGAACTACTTATGCATCTCAAAAATCCATCAGAAAAAGTAGTTTTAATGTTGAAAAACCCTTTGATTGATCATCTCGACATCGAGATGTATGACTATAAAAAATAAAAGGATTTAAAGTCTCAGAAATAGTGCATTTTACAACATATTATCTACACCGTTCATTTTCAATATTTTCATATGTTTATAGATCTACTTGATTTTAACCATTTTTTAAATTTAAAATTTTATAATTAGATACAAAAATAGATTTTGAGATAATCTTAAGAATATTTTACATCAAAATTATATACCATGGTAAAATTTGAAAGTACACCTTACCTCTACGGATGCATCCGTATGCAACCTGCACCCTATATATTAACTTATCATATCAAGAACCACCTTTTTAAAAGGTGGCACCCATCCACGCTTCTTGGAAGGCACACGCTCATGATTCCAATCGTTCATCGTGTTTTCTTTTATGGATTGAGGTTTTTATGAAGCCAGGCTTCATGGAAACCAAATAAAGTCCTCATGTTTCCTATCTTGTTTTCTTTTATGGATGAGGTTACTATGAGGTCTGGCCTCATGAAAACCAAATAAAGTCTCACCTTAAATCCTCATCTGAAAATGCTTTGATGTAAAAGTTTTCCGACGTTTGAGCAGCCAATTTCAATGAATTATGAGGTAAGCATTTAATTATCAAACCATTTTCTTTTATAAGCTCCAACCCCTTGAACGTTTGGAAAAGTCCGATGTAGGAATCAAATAAATGCAAATTTAAGTTAGAGAAAGGGAGGGAGCTCGTAATGCAATAGAGAGGGAGAAATAGGAAATGCAAGAGAGAGGAGAGAGAGAGAGTGAGTGGGGGATTAGTTGTTATTAATTGTTGTATAATGTATAAAAAATCGTTTTCTCTTGTCATTTTGCTTTTAGATTTAAAGCCAAAGATATTATACTCCTTTAAGGACAGTAGTTCAGTGTCTATTTACTCCCTTGGGTAAACCCTATGTAGAGTTAATATTAGAGCTTCAAATTTTGAGAATATAACCTTTTCAAATCATAGATTAAAATCAATAAAAAAAAGGGGAAAAGTTTATATAGAGCCTAGGCTCTAAACAATCAAATTAGAGCCTATCTCAAAAATTTCACTAGAAGACGTTTTGATGCTCAAATATCCTCAAATTGATCATCTCAACATCAAGATGCATGGACATGAAAAAAAAATAGATTTCAATTTTTAAAAATAGTATATTTTATAACGTATTTTTGGACTGTCAATTTTTCGAGATTTTCAAGTTTTTATAGATATGTCATTCGACACTATTTTTAAAGTTTTAAATTTTATAAATAAAAATATAAATATTTTGAAGGCTATCACAAAGATCTCTAGTATGAAAACCCACATTTCTCAACACTATTTGAAGCTAGGCTCTAATTTGATTGTTTAGAACCTAGGCTCTATGCAAACCGCGCTCATAAAAAAACTGTCCAATTTTTAGAAGGTGACGGCGGTAAAAAAAACCTCAATTTCAATTTTTTTTAGAATAATCATCTATTAATTTTTAAGTGATTCTCAAAATTTTAGATTGAAAAAATCCTCCCCAATAGATAGTTCGACTCAAGAAGATTATGCATGCAAGACCTTTTCATGCCCAAATTTAAAATACCACGCAAATGTATTGATTCAAATGGCATGGGAAATAGTTTTAATATTGAATTGAGTTTTTATTGCACATATTTATTTATCTATGTAGATAATTGAGATAGGGAAGATGAATTATTGACTGCTAAGTGAATTTAATCAACAACAGACACTCAAACAAGAGATATGCTCTTGGTATTTACATATTCTTGGTAAAACAATGAAAAACTACAATTAAATACCATTATTTTTTAAAAGAAAAACTCAAAAACTAGATTTTTTAAAAAAAATTAATGAAATTTTTAATTCTTTTTTAAGGCTAGATCCAACCAATTATCCAATTCTGACTGCCGAACTGACCCAGTTTTCTGAATGGACGATCTGGGTCACTATTCTGTTTTTTTTTTAAACCTTGCTCAAAACAATTGTAAATGGCACAATTCAAACATTGATTGTTCGAACCCACCTACTTATCTTTTTTATTGGAAGATTGATTTGGAATTTAGACATCTAATCCAATTATCAAAAAAAAAAGAAAAAGGCTTCTATACTTCCCCTAAAACATATAAGATATATGCCTCCCCACCATATAGTCGTTCAATTTAGATCAAGTGAGTTACTGATCACTTGATCTAGATCTGATGCTTCAGAGTATTTTATTTTTAGTTTTTTTTACAAATTGTATGAATATGAAATTGGATAGGTGACATCTTCTCAATGGGGCACACATAAAAAAATATTGAAAATAAATTTTCAATAAAATAAAATGATCAAAATAACTCTAAAAGTTTCAAGGGCTATTTTAGTCATTTTATTTTATTGAAAATATTTTTTTATATTGTTTACAAGTGCAAGTTTAAGAGAGGAGTGGATGCCCAAAATTCCGTGTCAAAATATTTTGTAAGAAAAAAAATGAAAAACAAAATAGTATAGAGAAATGACATTGTAATTGAGACCACCTCAACATCTATTCAGAACGGACAGTTGGCTAGGAGAAAGTATATAAATTTTATGCAGCAGGGGAAGCATAAAAAGCTTGCCCAAAAACATAACACTACTTCGGACATCGAATGTCAAAACCAGTGTTTTCACTCATTAAAACAAGGAAGTTAGGGCTTTGGACATGAGATTCAAAACACGAAAAAGTGAAATAGTAAAATAACAACATGCAAAAGCACTTTTAAATATCAAACATAAACTAAGCTTCTTCTATAATGGAAAAGTTTATATAGAGCCGAGGCTCTAATCAATCAAATTCGTGCCTAATTCAAAATTTTCACTAGAATAGGTTATTTTGATGCCCAACTATCCTCAAATTGATCATCTCGACATCAAGATGCACGGACGAGAGAAAAATATAGATTTCAAGTTTTGGAAATAGCGTATTTTGTAATGCATTTTTGGTATGTCAATTTTAAATATTTTAAAGTTTTCACAGATCTCTCGATCTACACTGTTTTTGAAGCTTTAAACTGTATAAATAAATATGAAAATATATTTTAAGGCTATCAAAAAAAATTTCAATATTAAAACCACATTCCTCGACACTATTGGGATTGTTTAGAGCCTAGGATTTATACAAACCGCACCCCTTCAATAAATTTATCTTAAACATTACTTCTTATCTGCCTGTAGAATCGTGTTTTCCCGTGGCCAGTTAATATCTAAGTTTAACCATTAAATTTAGGGAAAATTATCGATACCATGTCTTAATATTTTATAAACCACATCATTAATTTCAAAAATATTTTTTTTTGCAACCATCTTCCAAGTAAAAAACTAATGACTTTTAAGATGAAAATACCCCAAATATAATACAAATTTTTCTCACCCTATCTCAATTTTTTTTTATTTTAAAAATGATGCCAGTCCGATACAATGCATTGTTGCTTCATTCTAAATTATGTGTCGGTCTAGCATAGAATGTGCCTGGCCGATTTCATTTCAAACAATTTGTAGATCTAGCATGGTACCGGTTTCATTTTTAAAAAAGGGAAAGCTTTCTATGTTCTCCCTACAACATAGAAGTTCTATCCTCCCCCTACCATCTAGCTATCCATTTTTTATCAAGAGAGCCACTCACCGTTTGATCGTAGATCCGACGTCTCAAATTATTTTTTTTTTAGTTTTTTTAATACATTTTTTCTGAATATAAAATTGGTACGTGCCATCTTCTCATTGGGACACACCTATAAAAAAATATTAAAAATAATTTTTGATAAAAATGACCAAAATACCCTTGAAACTTTCAGGGGTATTTTGGTCCTTTTATTTTATTGAAAATATATATTGTTTTTTTTGCTAGTGCAAGTTTAATGGATGAATGGACGTCCAAATTTTGGTGTCAAAATAGTTTATAAAAAAAATTAAAAATAAAATAGTGTAGAGAGATGACATTGTGATTGAGGCAACCTTAGCCCTCCATTAAAAAATGGACGGTTGGATCAGGGGAGGATAGCTTTCTTTCTAAACTTTGAGTTGTATGGGATAGAAAAAGTGTTTAAAAGAAAAAAGTTTATATAAGGGCGAGGACCAAAATAATCAAATTAAAGCCCACTTCAAAAATTCACTAGAAGAGGTTGTTTCAATGCCCAAAAATCCCCAAATCAATCATCTCGACCTCAAGATGTTTGGACACGAGAAACAATATATTTAAAATCTTGGAAATAGTACATTTCATGCAACTTTCGGACAGACAATTTTCAAGAAAAACAATTATTCATAGATTTACTTGATCTACATAATTTTGAAGCTTTAAATTTTATAATTAGTTTATAAAAACAATTTTCTGAGACCATCACAAATATTTATAGTGTTGAAACTAACAACTTTCAATAGTGTTTGAAGGTGCGCCTTGTTTTGATTATCTAGGCCTCACCTTATACAAACTACACCCTTGTTTAAAATGATCTCAGTTGGGCATAACATTATGCCAAACCGGTACAACATTTTGTCTTTTTGTCTTTGTAACAAACCTTAAAACCTTGATAAGAAAACAAAAAGGAGAAAGGAAAATAGTTTCATAGGGCTGCAGCCCTATCAATATAATAGCCTCACCTTATAACTTATAAAAATAACAATTCAAGTATTGAAAAACCATTAAATCAATCATCTCAGCATGAATATCATGGTTGTGTAAAAAAAATTGGATTTGAAATTCTTAAAATAGTGTCATTTATTTTTATCTTAAAAATACGTATTCAAATATCCGCAAGATCTGTATCATATTTTTAATTTCAAATTTTATTATTGACGTTAGAAATTAATTTTAGAACAATCGGCAAGATTTCCGATTCCGAATGTGTTTTCCAGTTAAAGGATTTAAGGTGAGGCTTTACTGCTTTTATAAAGCGTAAGCCCTATAGAAGAGAAAACACAGGTGAGACCTGCCTGCTGTTTTATGTGACAAGGAAGAAAGGCCGGTTTTGAAAAGTGGTTTGCTTCTCTCTAGGATTCGTCCTTGTTGTTCATTATTCTTTGTTTCCCACCATTTGATCTACTCTTCTTTCTCTCTCTTACTGCAAGTCAAACAGTCCCTCTCAGTAAATGAATATGCTATCTTCAAAATGCCCATGGCTCTTCTCCTACTCGTGGCAGAGCAAAACATGGAGGAGAAGAGAGAGAGGCTTCTGGGGTTATAGAGAGAGAAGATTCAAATTGTGTTGTTTCTTAGAAGTAGAAGAAGAAGAAAGAAATATATTTTTATTTTCCGGCAAAGAGAGGTCAGCAAGAGAAAATAGAATACTAAACTGAAAGTCTGAAAAAGTGGAAAGTATAGAATCTGTATCATCTTGGGTGGAATTCTTAGTTTTGGATCTAGAAGAGAGAGAAGACCGTTGAATTTTTACAGGGTTTGGTTACAGAGAGAGAGAATGGAGAGTGGAGAACAAGAAGAAGGGTGGATAGAGAATAGGAGGAGCAAAGGGACATGGAAACATGCAGCTTTCCATGTTGCCACCACCATTGCCACCCCTGCTGCTTACGCACCTTTGCCCTTTGCCCTCGCTTCTTTAGGCTGGTCTCTTGGTAAGTTGATCAATCAAGCCCATTAATATTAATATCAACACCAATAATAATGTTATTATTATTATTGTGAGTATTAGTATTACTATTATCATCATCACCATCATCATCTAATTGTTGAGGGTGGTACTTTTGTTATTGTTCTTGTTGCTTCTTAAGAATGAAAAGGTGGGGTCTAACTGGTTTTTGCAAAAAAAAATTTAAATTTATGTTTCCAAATTTTAAACTGATTAAATTGGTTTAATTTTTGTGTTTCTCCTTATTGGTTGGGTTCCTCATTGATATTTTGTGGGTGGGTTCTAACCAGCTTAACATGAAATGAATATTTATTTTAGTTTTTCCATTTCTCCAGAGTTCACACTGAATAAATTGGTTTGAGTTTTCTCTCCTATAACATGTGATCCGTTTTAAGAACGAATGGTGGGTCTCTGGCATTATCATTATTAATAGTATTATTTACAGATTTTCAGATTGCATGAGTTGGTTTAGTTTGACAATTGTTCTTCCATTTTGGAATTGAAAAGTTCTCTTTTTGGTGGATATTTCATTGTAGGGGTTTTTAGCCTGGTTGGTGGGACATTGGTGACCTGGTATTCCAGCCTCATCATCTCATCTTTGTGGGCATGGAATGGCGAAGAGCACACCACTTATCGACAGCTTTCCCGTAGTATCTTTGGTTGGTATTTTGTCCTTCCACTTCCTTTTCAAGTTCATCCTTTTTTATCTGTTTTGATTTTCTACAATGTTTGAAGCAATGGACCTTGAATTATGAAAAGCTGATCAAATGCAACCTTGATTTGCTTTTCCATCAACGTCAATTTCGCAATCATAATCATTATGAACTTGTTGCTCCAAGAACTAGTGATGTTGTTATAAACACTGGCATATGGATTCATGTCCTTCTCCAAAAGTTGTGTGTATGTATGATATGTGCACATGCATGTAGGCATATGTATTTACATGTTTGCATACTTATCTGTGCCAATAATTTCTTGATGAAGTAGTACATGTATGTAATTGTAGGAGTAAGGAAATTATTAATAACTTATTGATAAATTTTGTTATACTTAGCCAGTGTTAGTCATTTTGTAGTAAAGAAATGTGATTCTTTTAATGTATATTTGTTGCTTTTTTCTGCATTTAATGTTCTATTCCTGATCTTTTAGAAATATGTCATGAAATATTTCAGGGTCTTGGGGTTATTGGGCCGTCTCATTTTTCCAACAAGTGGCTTCTCTGGGAAACAATATAGCTATCCATATTGCAGCGGGCACAAGCTTAAAGGTTAGTGTTTCTATATCAATGAAGGTAATTGTGTTTATTTTTTACATATTAGTATCACGAGAAGAGTAGAATATAAGACTTTGGTTCTCCTCGGGCAAGTGACCATGAAAATTTAGCAAACTAATCTTCTTTAATTTTATGCAGGCAGTTTACAAGTACTTTCATGAGAATGGTGCCCTCACTTTGCAGGAGTTCATCATATTTTTTGGGGTTTTTGAGCTGTTTCTATCACAGTTTCCGGATATCCATTCCCTTCGTTGGGTTAATGCTTTATGCACTTGCAGCACTGTCGGATTTGCTGGTACCACTATTGGTCTGACTCTCTACAATGGTAAACTTGAAGTAGCTATGAAAGAAATATACTAAATTCTAGAAAAGTGGAAGATATATTCTAGTTGAGATAAGGTTGGGCGTCCCTAGTTTATGATTATCCCGAAAGCTCAAAGAAATGTGGCCTAGTTGACTAGTACTACTGAGGTTGGTCAGATTGTTGAATACATGTTTGTCAAGTAATTCGTAAAATTGGGCCTGTTTTCTCTTCTTCTTCTTTTTTTAATATCTTGTTTGCTGACCATGAAATATTTCTTGTACCTTTTCTAGCTTGTTTCTGGTATCATAAGGTTGATTATACTTTTTTTCTTTAAATTAAAAATGAACCACTTTTTATCTTTTGCGGTTTTCAGGGTGGATGATTGCTTATCTGCCGAAGTTTGCTTTTAATTTAACATGAAAATGTGAAGGAAATTGGATGTTGATAATCCTCCTTTCTCATGATATTCTTGTAGGGAAAAAGATTGAGAGGGGATCGGTGAACTATCATTTAGAAGGAGACTTAGCCACTAAGATATTCAAGGCATTCAATGCCCTGGGAACCATTGCTTTCTCATTTGGAGATGCAATGCTTCCTGAAATACAGGTAAATGTTTCCCTTATTTTTGACAATTATCTTTCATTATTGTTTTTCTTTGGTTGGGTTAGGAGGGGAGAGCTAAAAAATGCACCAATTTCAAAAGACAATTCGAGCATATTTCTTTCAACGGCACTTATAGGAGTATACCCTGGTTTGAAAAGAATGAAAAAAGTGAAACCTCATTCTACAGCACATGAGAATCAGCATTTAAAAAATTGTTGACTCGGGTTTGGACTTGACTGGGTGCAGGTTCCCAATGAACGACCCCTAACGGTGGGAGAGTCTGACTCATGCCAGAAATTTCTTATGTAAATGTACGGGGCATATCATCAGCTAGAAAGAATTTTTTAGGAACTGTAATGAGCACCCAACCTGTGGGTCACCTGATCATTTTTTGTAACTTCTATACACACCATATAACAGTTAACCTTCCCCAAAAAAAAGAAAAGAGCTTATATAATTTTCATTGAGATTGGGCCAAGGCGGTCAATCCGAATACTCTGGCTCATGTTCGGGCTCGGCCTTGGAACCGTGGCAAGTCCCAGCCCGGGTCCAGGGCTTTCAAATACTGATGAGAATACTTGACCACTTCCACTTTCCTTTCCCTATCTTACATGCTTCAAGAACTTCTGGGTGTACCTTGTTGCCAGGAATCTAAAATGAGGCAATGAAAATCTCAAAGATTTTTGTTGTTGAGTTCATTGTGGCTAGCTTCAATTCGTATAGGGTGAAGTGCTGATAAATTTGCCAATCATTTTCATTTCAGAGTACTATAAGGAACCCTGCAAAGAAAAATATGTATAAAGGCATATCTCTCGCATATGGAATTATTGTCCTGAGCTACTGGCAAGTAGCTTTCAGTGGATACTGGGCATTTGGGTCTCAAGTTCAGCCCTATATTTTGTCATCCTTGAAAGTTCCACAATGGGCCATTGTAATGGCCCACATGTTTGCTGTAATCCAAATAGCAGGGTGTTTCCAGGTATGTGCCTTTGGTCCACATTTGATGTTTTTCCATAATCATTGTATAATCAATATAAGAAGTTTTCTTTGTTATATTTTTCTGATGATGTTGTCATGACAGTTAACACATTAATGATGAGGTAAGTTTTTGAGAAACATCATTGCAAATTAAAGTTCTCATCTGACATAAACTCTCCACCTTGATCAGCTTTAAAACTGCTTTCGAATTTTAATCCCAAAAGCTGCAGCTTCCACAACATTTCTAAATATAAAAATCTTTGAACACTAAATGTTTCCTTGAAAGAAAAGTACACCCTATGCTCTCTCAGTATAACCATCAGTACTAGCATACACTTCTTCTGGAACTTGATGGCACACTTACATTTTCAAAAACAAATCAGAATGAATGGATAACCAATTGGAAGATTCTTGAAGTAGCTAAATGTGCTTTCCCATCCTAACAACCGCCCCATATTATCACTTTTAATAGCTAACCAATATAGGACTATAAATTTAGTACTAAGGAAAACCCTTTTTCTGCATTAGTATATGATTATAAAATTTAGTATGAAATAAAATCCCTTTTCCATAGCGATGCTCATCCTTCTTGGCATGTGAGGTAATGAGACATGGAAAAAGGTATATGAGACATTTTTTGATGTTATGTTTACAGTGCTAGCACGCTTTGACTTTGTAATTTATTCACACATACTTAAGATCCTGGTTTGCTTATCGAAAGTTATACAGAGGGCCTAAAGTGATACATATGATTTATGCATATTTGGTGAACTAGAATCTTAGGTACTATCAATGGATAGGAAGATTCAATCTCAAAGGACAATGCAGATTAATAATTAAGTCTTTGGGTCCATAGACACTTGATTAATTGGTTTTATATGTTCATTTACGTTGGTGCTTCAACTATGTATTCATTTTGTATGAATCTCCATAACAATTGTCAACAGATTTATCTAAACTGCTGGATTTTTTTTCTCAATGTGCAATTATTACACGTCAGAATCTTGGCTTTCTCAAATGCATTCTAGAATTCATTTTATAGATGCTATCTCACCAATATAAGCCAGAATCTGATTTGTGTAAGTCTTACGTAAGGATTTCACGTCTATTTTGGCCCCCTGTTATGATGGGCTCAGCTTCACAAGTTTGTTTGAGGCTCGTGCTCCCTTTCCTTCTCACAGATATATTGCCGGCCAACTTATGCATACTTCGAGGAAAACATGTTATCTAAAGATCAGACTGGCCTATTCAGAATTCGCAATCGACTAGTTCGCCTCTTTGCAACCTCTCTCTACATGGTTCTAATTACTTGTATTGCTGCTGCAATGCCCTTTTTTGGGGACTTTGTTGCAATTTGTGGGGCAGTGGGTTTCACACCTCTGGATTTTGTAATGCCCCTAATTGCTTATGTGAAAGTAGGGAAACTACCAAAGAACAGAAGTTTGGGTCTCTCAGTTAAGGCCCTTAACCTTTTTATTGCTGTTTGGTTCTCTGGGGTAGCCATTCTGGGTTGCATAGGTGCTGTGAGATTCACTGTTAAAGACGCACAAACTTACAAGTTCTTTTATGACATGTAATTGTCCCTAGCATCTTGTTGTGTACGAAAAAACCACAAAAGAATTATGAAATAAACCCGAAACATACAGCAATTGGTGCATATTTTAAGTGAATGTATGTAATACAGATATACTTTTTTTTTTGAGAATGGTAATACAGATACTTTTTAAGATAACTATTGGAATAATTTTGTCTTGGTTTATATGATAATGGAATTATGTATAGTTGTCAGAGGACATAACAATTGGGAATTTGGAATAGATGGACTATGGGAGATATGTTGTATGGACAGTCTCTGTGTGTGTGTGTGTGTGTGTTGTCAACTTGGGACCTAGGCAGGAAGATGCACAGTATATTTCCTCGCATTACCATGAAGCAGGGGATGAGATTGCATACACAAAAGTTGTTCCTTTTTGAGGTTGGGATGCCACCAAATGATTTAAAATCGGCCTGTCCAGTTCAATGCTGCTCATTTTGAGTGTGCATGTATGTTCTCATGAGAGATAGAGAGAGTGAGCGTGAGCGCTAATAAATCAAAAGCTGAAACAAAAGACCAATTTTGGTTGATTCATTATGTTCCGTACAGATCCAGTATTGCTTCTACAAGCCCAAGTGATCTGTAGAAGACTATATGCTCGATATACCAAATTATTTGGGATTGACCAGAATTTCTTGCAATTAAATGCAGGCGAGACAATTCACGTTGCCAAGATTTCAGCTGATCATTTCACAGAGAAAATTGACATATAATATCCCAAATCACCCCGATAGGAAATAATTGTTGTAGTAAGCTGACATTAATCTAAATCCCTAAATCTCAAAAACTTTGCAATGCACATTGATACCCATCATAAGTACAAAAAATCAAGGGAAAACAGTTTTTTGATATAGACCCAGTAAGTTATGAAAAATAGTGTCTTGTTCTTTCTCTTTCACCTTGCATGCTCTCAGGCAGATCATCTGGTCTGAGAAATGAATGGATGCTACCATTATCGACATACTCTCCCTCCTCAAGGGAAAAGTCATCGCTTTCAATCTCAAGTTCACTCAGGTTCCGCTCATCTTCATTGCAGCTATAATAGGTCTCAAGATAAGCCTCATCATCTTCATCCTGAAATTTTACGAAAATTTCCAGACAGTAAATGTTGATGAAGCATTTAACCACACACACACACATGCACACACATGCACACACACAGACCTCTGTTTCATCATCTTCGGAACAATATACAGAATCTAGCTTTGCATACAAGTCCTCATCGCCTTTCTCCTTTATGCTTTCCATTTGAGCCTGCTCAATAACAGCCATAAAAAAACAATGCATCATCCAGAGCCCAAAGATATGTTTCACATGTAAATTAAAAAAGCAATTTATCAAATTAACATATTTGATTAGTAAAATGAACTTCTTTCAAAAGATGAATGTGGTAGGCCTCATACCAGTTCAGATTTCAGCGTCTGCACTCTTTTCTGCAGATTTGAAATGTGATTGTTTAGTGCCTGCATCAATATAAATGTCAGTGCTTCCATGACTACCCTCAGCTGAAAACTCAAGCCTTTGACCAAAGGAGGAGGAAGAGGACGAGGAAGAGGAAGAGGAAGAGGACGAGGACGAGGAGCAGGATGAGGAGGGATGGAGAGGAGAAGAAGCTGATGGAAAGGAGGAAAAAGAACGATAAAGAGAAGGAGAAAGAGAAGAAGCTGTTGGAAAGGAGGAAAAATAATGATAAAGCGAGGGAGAAGCAGCAGAGGCAGGAGGAGGAGAATAAGAAGATGTAGAAGGGCTAGTAGAAGAAGAAGGAGAGGAACAAGGAGAGGTGAGGAGTAAGGAGAAGGTGAGAAAGAAAAAGTAGGAAAAGAATGAGAAGTGAAGAAGGATAATAATAGAAGCAAGATAGGATACGTTCTTTAATTCTAGATAAACCGAAAAAGAATAAGAAGCGGGAATTTTCAAAAAGAAAAAGAAAGATGAGAAAAAAGAAAGAAAACGGGAACCAATGCTAGCCATTAGACAATTAGTTGGATTAGAAGAAACCTAAGTATATAATTCACCAAGGGTTTTTCATATATGACATGAATCACAAGGAAACAGGATGTGTCCCTGAAATATCCTATATGAATGAAACAGGGGGAAAGATTACTACAATCCAACGAACTAAGGGAAACAATAATCCATTGGGGTCATCACTCCATCGAAATGATGTATGGTGATGGAAATAGTAAGATCCACTATGAATTTGACGCCCATGGTGGGTCCCACTTTTACTCCATCACCTGCCTTTATTTCAATAGATAGTGAAAACGCAATTGACTATGGATTTTCCATCCTATTCAATTGTATTATACTATACTTTCCCTAGTAAAGATGCCCCTAATTTTTAAAGCAGTCTAAGATGGGATTTAATTCCACGTTATAACATACCTCACGCCTTTGAAGCTCGATTGAACGGGCCAAAGCTTTTCTCTTGGTCAAAAGGTTCTGGGGCCTCAACAGACGTGGACGCTTGTAGCCTTTCCCACGATAAACGATGATAGCATACCCTTTGGAAATCTTATCCACTGAGACTAAAATACCCCCACTCTCAGCCTCAAGGGATAGTGCAATGTTCTTGACATGTCCAAAATTCTTAGCTTTCAAAATTATCTTAATGAGTTCCCTGTACTTCCAGTGCAAGTGCATGTTCTCCACTGTCCCATCGAAAACTCCACGCTTCCCTGAATCATGTAACATAATAGATGTCTAAGTTCTCCTCTTCTGATAAGTGTGTACAATGGGCATTAGGTTCACAGGAAGTATGTCAGTCCAAAAGACCATGGAAACCTATCACTCATTGGGGCCATGAGCTTTCAATGAATGGAAGTTGATGGAGTGGGAACAACCAGAACAGGACATGAACACAGGGGTAGGTCCCACTAGCTCTAGTCAATCACTGTCCATCATTTCAATGCCTGACCCTGATGGAATATGGTTCTCCAAAGTCCATTAGATTATATCGTTATACTGTATTCTTTCTCTAGTTTGAACCCAAAGAGTGAGATTTTTTCAATTAGAAAATAAAAGTGCAATGCAATGTTAGATTACCCAAAAGTAAGTAAGCTTTCATTCGCAGGCCAAGTTTACGGAACATAAACCTCTCCTCGTCAGTTATGCTTTCTTGATCCCTAGACTGGTCAGTTGGCTTCAAAAATTCTTCCACTTTGGCTAAAGCTTTTTCAGCTCTCATTGCCTTTTGCTGGGCCTGCAACCCATAAAATAGAAAAAACAGGGGTAGGTGTAAGCAGTTTTAACCATAATTTTGATCACCCACTGATAAGCAGATTACATGGAGTACGGAATAGCCACAAAAAAGTCAAAAGTGCTCTAGTAAAATTCTAGTAATTCCAAAACTTAATGCATGGATTTGTGGTCTCTGGCACCTTGAGGACATCTGGGACATTCCAAAGAGAAGAGAACAGTCAACAATGCTAAGCAAAGAAAAATCAGTGCTAATCAATACCTTAAGGGATCTTTTGAGTGCGTCTGTGTGTGTGGGAGGGAGGGAGGGAGGGAGGGAAGGAGAGAAAGAGAGAGAGAGAGAGAGAGAGAGAGAGAGAGAGGGGGGGGAGAGAGGGAACCAGAACTGCCCATCAAATTTTCATAAAAGATACAGGTAAAGAGAGTCAAAGGAAATTTACCAGGTCAAGCTTCCTTTCGAGCTTTCTAACTAAGCCAGCATGCCTTGTTGCTTCAGCAGCCTTTATCATCTTTTCTTTCTCTTCACTATCAAGATTCTTTCCCCATCTTGCACTCGCCTCTAAGGTTTCACTCAGAGTCCCAGAAAAGCGAGGCTCCTCTTTAGCTGTTGTTGTTGAGACATCTGAAATAATCGAAGCGGTTGCATAAAGTCGAGCATTTTCCTCTTCGTCTTGGAGAGCCTTTGCCAACCTTTCCCTTTCTAATAAAGCCTCTGTCACTTCAGGTGACAAGAAATCCTTTCCTCTGTAGAAGACCATGAAGTCCTTGTTTCGTGAGAGTAAAGTACCTCCTGTCAAGCTCTAGAATTGGGCAATGGAGAAAATCTTCAGTCAAGAACCCAGCCAAGAAAATACAAGAGTTAAAAAATATATACAAAGTCAATATGTGATTTAGAGTTTTAATTATATTAATTGTTTCAAAAACATACCATAGTACATGAGAGACAGATATAAAGTTTGCTTTTGTTAAGATGTTAGAAATATCATTTTGTGCAACTACCAGATTAGAAATTAATTCTCCAATGGTTGGGGTTAAAAAATAAATCTACATGCCAGAAAATAATTGTAGTTAAAAAAATTTAAATACTCAGCAAATATGAATATCACTGTACAGAGTGTTTAATTTAGTGGGTCTTATGTTCGAAAGAGAGATCACAAGTTCCAGTTCTGACTCAATAACACTTAGTCACCTTGATTTGTTCGGCCATTCTCTCACCGCAAGTGTTTTGTACACCACGTTTCAAAGCAATCTTCACAATTGAGCTTTTTTCCCACACTTTCACCATGGCCACAGCCAAACCTTGGTGTTGCCTGCTTCTACCTACAAAAAAGCAACAGTAAAGTACAACTTTATCCAACAAAATAAACACCCAATATAAATCAAATGAACGTGAACAACATGAAAATTGGACTTACCCAAGGCAAAGTGAGGAGGCAAAACTCTTGCAAGCCTCCTTAAGGTAGTCATTTCTGTTCTTCCAAGAGAAAATCTCATTCCATAAGGTAGAAGTCTGAAAGGGGGTTTATAACCAGGGACCACACCAGGTAGCAAATCAGCATCTACAGGTAGTGGATCACAACCAGCCCAATCATTATATCGTGGGCCAAGACCCTCTAATAACTGGTCTACCTCTTTTTCATAGTTGACTTTGTTAGGTGGTTCAGTTTCAGTTTTATTCTCAATGTTAACTCCCTTTTCTTCAGGGAACCTCTGCAAATCTCTAGATGAAACACTCTCTGAAAAACTACCGTTAACCTCATCAATGGCTGAGCCATTCCTATTGAAATTGCGATTAACTTGGGTTTGCTTCTTGGCAGGCTTCTCATCAGAAACATCATAATTTATGCCTCTATATAAAACAATGGAACTTCCAGACCTCCAGATAACCAAACCACCAGTTTTTCTCTGAACAACAAAATGGAAAAACCATATATCATAAAAAACAACCTCCAATTCCTACTACTTCTTTAAGTACTGAACAACAAAATGGAAAAACCATATATCATAAAAAACAACCTCCAATTCCTGTTATTTCTTTAAGTACAAGTACAAAGCATAATCTCATTTTCTTATATGTTATAGCAATGCAACATATTATTTAAGCAATCCGCATCTGTCAGAAGAAGCAACAATATCACCTAGAAGCATTAAAATGCAAATATGATATTCACATCATAGATAACTCAAACAAATAAGTAATACAAAAAAGTAAATAAATAAGTAAATAGCTAGTGACTGTGAAGATCTGCGCTAGCAGAAAACCACACCTAGAGAGACTTGTGTGCCAACTCTATGGGAAAGATATGGGTGAAATTGTCATGGGACAGTCCGGAAACAGGTATTGGAGTGGTAGCAAGGAAATATCAACACTCAAACACCATGGACCAGTTCCAAAATGTCTTTATGGGTGTATGCTAATTAGAAATTATGTATAGTCCATGAACGCATATAGAATTGACTATATATATTTATTTCATAAAAAAATTGTCGTCAATAGCAAACACCTGGAGTAAATTGGTTGATAACTTTTCCTGAGCCCATTGCTTTTCATCTATGTTGTATTTGAGAGGAGATGACAAAATAAACAAATTGGTTTCTTTTATGCGCATTTGAAACTTCATGTTTCCCACTAATAAATTATTGGAAATCATTATTTCATGCAAATCTAGCCTCAAGTTCACCTGAACGAGTCTTGATCAATTCTAGTAGCATAGAAGGGCCTGGTTTTTGCTATGATCCCTAGTTCAAATGTGAAATCTTCTTTTTTTTTCAAATTCACCCCAAAATTATACTTCTCGAACAATAGAGGAAAACTACATTCCTAAATCCTTGACCATCACTGAAGAAACCCAATATTGGAACTTGGAAGTCTATTATTTGTATTACTAATTTCTCGACATACCGGGAAGTTAATATTTACTCCAACTTCTAGTTTAAACATGAGTGCTGAAGAAGTCGGTCCAGCATATTTTTTCAGTGTATCCTATGAACCTATGAGTGTTTCATGATTAACTAATAAATCAGATTGCAATAAGGCTAGCACCACCCTCTATCTATTGAATTAAAATATAGCACTGGATAATGAGAAGTGATCCACCATAACCAGCACAAAAAGATGAGCAAGTGATAGTTTTTCTATGGGAGAGAGGTAACGCAAACAAACTCCATAGGAAAATAAGTACTAAAGTTCAATATGAGAGAGAGAGATCTCAAATATACATTGCATTAGAAGATGAACTTGAGGTAGATACCAACCTCCAAAATCTCATGGGACCTCTTCATATTAAGAGTGGGTGCTCCCTCACACTTGATCCTTACTATCTCTTCACTCTTCCATTTCTTGTGAATTGAATCTACAATCGCCTGTGTAACCCCAGCCCCTTTAATCTTCGTCCTCCCCTTCATTCGAAGAGCCAAATTCGTAAGCCTTCTAATCTCAGATGCAGGGAGAGTTAACTCGGCTAAAGAAGTCCTACTCCTCGTCTTTCTAACCGAAACCTCTCTCTGCCATGGAAATCGAACCTCCCCATTTTCTCTCTCCAAAACCCCATTAGGTGAATCTAAAGAAAGCCCACCCCTAGAATTGGGAAGAACACCTGGTTCAGCATAGAATACATCTTCAACTGAACCACGTTCAGGTCTTCTCTCCATGTCTAAACCTGTCTTTCTTTCATCCATGAAGCCGAATCTCTTGAGCTTGTCGACAATTTGATCCATGGTGCTCTTTTCTGCTTCTTCTTCAAAACCTAGTTCATCATCTTTACTGTTAATGTCTTCCTGTTCATCGCTTGAAACCCCATTGTCTCTATAATCCAGAACAGCTTTGGGCCTTTTGGGGAGGTTTCGACATTGGCTTCCTGTCCATTTGTGAATCCAATGACCTTGAACTTGGGTCGTCTTCTCTGCAATAACTCCATTACAGTGGGGATTAGGGGATATCTTTTCGGGGCTCTCTAAGTCTTTTGAATTCGTGATAGTGTTGAGATATGACGAAACATGGGTTCTTTGGAGCCGTGTGATTTGAAGGCGAGAGCCATTAAACCTGGACCACGTTGAGTGCAAAGAGTCCAGTAGAGCTGTTGGGTAGAGAGGGCGGCTAGGTGTGAATGCCATATCTTGAGAAAGAAACAGAATTTAGAGAGAGAAATGACTGTTAATGTGAGAAGAGATTACTCACGAAAGAACCCCAACTGCACGATAAGAGAGACAGAGAGAGAGATAAATTCTAAAGAGTTGCTAGTGTTGAAGTGGAAATGAACTGCGAAAAGAGGGATCATGATACCACCCTCAATTTCATGCGCTTGAATTCAATGCGTTTGCGCAAATGTTGCAGAGATTACAGTATGCGGCTATAAAGCGATCAGATTACAATTCCCAACAAAACTTGGAATCGAGATAAATAAAAAAAACAGCACTCACTCTCTGGAATGCAGACCGAAAAACCCCAACCCTCACTCTCTAAAATTGCAGCTGGTGGCCGTAAATTTGATGTCGGTAGATTGTGTAGCGAACAGATAGTAGTTTCAAGGGAAACACAAACGGAGGGAAACTCTCCTCGTGTACATATCCATATCGCTTGGAGGTAAATAAATTCTCGTGGGAGAAAATGCACTTGCCATAACGATAGGGGTACAAGGTGGTCCCATTAATCTTGAAGCAATTATTCCATTGATCCGGCAGCTCAAACTTCAAAATAAATGTTTTTAAACTTTTCAAGGCATTCAAGCTATCAAATTTTACATCGAATGATCATAAGTAATTGTTGCTACATTGTATCAAAGGTAAGTTGTCTCATTATATACAATCTTATGAAAATATTATTACACGATTCCGTACAAATATTTTTTAAAAATATATATTCATGTAAAACAAACATGACGTGCTCAACCATCCGATGTGATATTTGATAACTTGAATATCTCATAAAGTTTGAGATAATTTATTATAAAGTTTGAGCATAGCCAATGAAATAATTGCAGCCACCCAATTTCACATCCAATAGTCAAGATTAATGTGACCATCTTGTATTAAAAAGTAAATGGTCCCATTATATACAATCCCTTGTCCTTGTTTGAATTTTAAATTTCATTATTAGGCTTAAACATTGATTTCAAGTCATCATAAGGTTTCCAAAAGTGGAACTTCATCTTTTAAAAAGATTTAGATATGCACCTTACTTGTATAGTTTAAAGTGGGCACCTCACACAAACCTCTCGATTTTGTTTCCCCAAGGATTGTATACAATATAACTATTTACCTTTAATATAAGGTGGTCATAGTTACTTACACGCTTAGATGTCTCACAAAGTTCGAGAATATTTTTTTTGAAGTTTGTGATTGGTCAATGAAATAATTACATCCACTCAATTTCACATCTACTAGTCATGATTAATGTAACTACCTTGTACCACAGTTAAATGATTTCATTATATACAATCCCTTTTACCAAAGGAAAAAGTTTATATAGAGCCGAGGCTCTAAACAATCAAATTTGAGCCTACCGCCAAATTTTCACTAGAAGATGTTGTTTTGATGCCCATATATCGTTAGATTTATCATCTCGACATCAAGATGCATAGACATGAGAAAAAAGTGGATTCCAAGTTTTGGAAATAGTGTATTTTGTAATATATTTTTTGACCATTATTTTTTCAAGATTTTTAAGTTTTCATAGATATGTCAATCTATACTATTTTTTAAGCATTAAAGTTTATAAATAAATGTGAAATTATATTTTAAGGCTATCACAAATATTTTCAATATTGAAACCACATTTCTCGATACTATTTGAAGGAAAACTTTAATTTAATTATTTAAAACTTATGCTCTATACAAACCGCACCCTTTACCTAATGGTAGCAACCCAACTTTGTGTTTTTGTTCTCCTCCATAGACCTACAGCCCCAAAAGCAAAAAATTGATTCTCCAATTTTTAGAGAGAGAGCCGGTGGTGGGATTGATGCTTTGTTTGGATTGTGCAACTCTCTTTTTTTATGGAGCAACATTGCTGTAAATAATGTAGAGTGGGGTGGGGTGGGGTGTGGTATGGAGAGAATGATAAAGAAGCGTAGTTATAAACTGGCCAGCACGTTGGACAATGAAATTTACGATATTTACTAACGCCAAGATAAAAGAATCTTCTCCACTAAGCTATTGGAACAAAAAAAAAAACATTTTTCTCGACGAAAATTGGAGAGAATGATAAAGAAGTGATAGTAAAGAAGAGAGAGAAATGCTGGCCAGGTGAGATAGAGAGGCAACAATGAAATAAGAGCGGAGGTGAATGTAACGCCCCCTCTCCTTTTTGTAACATAACAAAGCTCAAAAGTCTTGTTTTTAAGTGAACTAAATTTTGAGTTTTATCAAAAATTCGTCCCTTGAAGGATCAAACTCATTTTAGTTTGACATTCAAGGGTTAAACTATTTGGTGGCATTGTTTTTTTGTGGCTAAACTTCGAATTAGGTTTTGTATATAATTTTTTATTCTTTTTATGAGCTCATCCTCATTTGACACTTGAAGTGTTGAACTGGGGTATTTTTGTGGTAGTCTCTAATTTGATTATTTAGAGCCTCAGCTCTATATAAACATTAACTTTTTAGTAATTTATAGTTTTATGTTCTTAATCAATAACAACCAAGACGTTTTTCTTTCGAACAAAATTATATATATAAAAAAATCATATTTATATTTTTAAAATTTAAAACAAGTCCTATATGTTTCATAGTTTACCCTCAAACCCTGCGTTTTTAGAGCATAAATCGTATTTAAAAATTATCTATTTTTCTATATATTGAAGTAACCATAAAGTAGACATATCCATACTTTTTATCATCACACAGACATATCCATACTTTTTATCATCACACACCTATAAAACATATTTTAAAAATAAATTGACATAAATAAATACCTTTGAATATTATAGGGGTATTTTGTTTATTTATTATGTTTGAATTATTTTTTAATTTTTTTTTACAAGCGTGCAATGGTGAGAAGTATATATCTATCAAATTCGAGATTAATCCAATATATAAAAAATTTAATATAAAATATATAAGGGTGTCTTTAAAATTTGAAAATAAAACAAAGACTTCTTTATAAATTTATCTTTTTATTTAATTTGGTTCTAAGCATTTAGAAAAATTACATAATGTTTAACGTTATTTGGGATTCCCAACCTCAAATATTAGTTATTTATAAATTTTAAAGGGAAAAGTTTATATAAGGTTGTGGGGCTAAACAATTAAACTAAGGCGCACCTCATAATTTCACTAGAAGAAGTTGTTTCGATGCTAAAAAAAGCCCCAAATCTGATCATCTCATCCTTGGGATACATGAAGGTAAAGACAAAATAGACTCCAAGTTAAGAAAGGGGCAAGGTTGTGGCGGTAGCTCCCCATACTTAGGTTTCCAATCCTGTTGACACTACTAAAGATACCTTAAAAAAAAGAAAAAGAAGCAAACTCCCTAATCTGTATGAAAAAATTGGTTGTGGTTTCCAATCCTGTTGACACTACCAAAGACACATTAAAAAAAAGAAAAAGAAACAAACTCCCTAATCTTTATGAAAAAATTGGTTGGGACCTGTTTTCCGTATTAAATTATCTAAAAAAAAAGAAAACTTCAAGTCTTGATTATATCTGGTAATGCATTATCTAAACCGTCGATTTTTAAGATTTTAAAGTGTTCATAGATTAAGCAGATCTATATTATTTTTGAAGCTTTAAATTTTATGACTAGATATAAAAATAAAATTTAAGCAATCATACATATTTTTGGTATCATATAATGAGACTATTTATTTGTGATACATGACATTAATCTTGACCATTGGATTTTAAATTAAGTGGGTGTATTTATTTTTTTGACCAAGCTCAATTTTAAATTTTTATTTCTCACATCTAAACTATCAAATTTTACATCATATCGAATAGTTGTAAGAAATTGTGACCAACTAGTATTAAAGGCCCGACCCCTCTGGACCTGACGGGTTGACCATACGACCCGATTTCTCCTTGTCTGGCGCGCATTCTTAAAGCCTCCGGAACGTTCTCTCGCGCAATCTTAAAAGCCTTGAGAACTTTCTTTCGTACGATGCACGCACAACTTTTTAACTCTTTTGCTTTCATCACAGTGGAAAGCCTCGTTTCTCTCTCCGCAGAATCTCATCGAAGCAGAAATCTTATCTCTCAGCTCATACCAGAAACTCTCTGTCTCCATAGTTCTATCGCATGGCGGCGCCTATCCTACCTTCGGATCCCTCTGCTGCTCTTGCAGGTTTATACGCCCTAACTCCATATCTTCTTTCCTCTTCACCTATTTGTTCTTCCAATTATTTTTTAACTCTTTACCTTACTTCTAACTTCTAACTTAATTTTATTTTTTCCCTTATTACTTTTTTTCTCACATGCAGTCAGGGATAAAGTTCAGAAGCTTCTCAGTGCTGCCTGTACTGGCAACCTGGACCTCTTCAAGAGTGAGTTTTTTCTTTTCCATGTGAAGCATGCACTTTCTTTGGGCTTAACTTTAATATGTATATTGTTTTCATGTCTCTTGATCATTGCCATGATTTTGCTTTGTGTTTATCTGGTTTTTTATTATGCATTTTTTATTTTTTTCGAGTTGCTAAATTTTATGATATCTATCTTTCATGCATGACATTGTAATTTGTGTATATTTTTTTCATGCCTCTTGATCATTACCACGAATGTGCTTTGTGTTTCTCTGGTTTTTGATGAATTTTTTCGAGTTACTGAATTTTATGGTATCTATCTTTCATGTATGACATTGTAATTTGTTGGTGGTTTCAGTTTTGGATATGTAAATTTTAAATATGCGTAGTTGATATTTGGTATTTCTTTCATGTAATTGATTGTGAAGATACTGGGAATTGATTTAGGGCATTATGCTGAGAGGAAGTGGTGATTCTGGTCATTCATCATATTGACTTGTGATTTATTGATTTGCAATTGTTTTAGATCATTCATTCATCATTTTGACATATGATTGAGTGATTTGGAAGAATTTGGGGAATTGCTTAACAAGATCATAACCTGGACCAACTAATGCCACATGTGTTGGGTGATGCTCATGCTGAGATTTATTTAATTAAAACATTTAATTAACTTTTTTTCTTTTTTAATCCATAATTTTTCATTCATAATCCATTATCTATTATTGTAGCCGTTTAATTCTCTATCTAACATTTTCTAATTATCTATTTTACATATATTAAATCATAGTTAAGGGTCAGGACATTTGGCATTCAATGAGAGTAGAACCCTACAGTGCGAGACTCTAGGGTAGGTCACCTGTTGAGGGAGACCTTACAAACTGGGCCACTAAAATACATGCCCTTAATTGGGTGGTTCTCTCCAAAAAAGCCTCATCTTGCAACCAGCTGATATGTTGAGGTATCTCCTTGCTAATCGTTTTATCATCTGCAAGAGTGAGGAATAAATGATTGACCACCTCTTCCTACAGTTCTCTAGAAGCAAGCAAAATCTGGTCATCCAGGTTAGACCAAAATCAGTGATTCAACTGTTCTCAACTTAATTCCCTCTCCCACATGTTGGCTACTTTTGAGGAGGGCCACTCTCCTGGCCACAATTTGGTGCATTTGGCTGGACGGAATGGTCAAGTCCTTGAGGGACATTTGACTTGTACAGAAACAGTTTTCGATGGTATTGTAGCTAAAGTTATTTTCTGGGCCAAGAACCATAAACTGTTTAAGTGCTTCTCTGTTATGCATTCTAGGCCTATGTAAATTCTTTGACCTGGCCATTGACTCCCCCTGGTGCTGGGAGACAGCGAGCTGAACCTCAATGGTTGCTTCCTAGGCAAAATGGGGGATAGTACATCACAGGTTGTGCTTTCTCAGGTGCCATACTTGCAGTTCACTCAACCATGATGAAAGCTCAGGCCCTGTACACAACTTGACAAAATTTGGGTTACCTCCCACCTTGTAGAGGGAGACTCCAAAATGTAATAGTCTGTGCACCTTGGTGTTTGCAGCAAATATTTTTATCAATTTTTTTGGGCTATTTGATTCACAAGAAGTTGCTTTTAAACATGTTTGGAAAGAATTTAATTCTGAAGCCCATGTACTGGCTAAGCAAGGGGCTTTGGGACCTCTGTTGTTTATCTTTAACACCAGTTTGGTGCCCAAAGTTTACTTCACGTATCACCATTTTTAATGCTGAAGCTTATTCACTGGCGAAGCAAGGGGCTTTAGGACATAGTTGGTCATCTTTAAATCCAGTTTGGTGCCCATTGTTTACTTCACATGTCACTAGTGCCCTTTGGTTTTTACACACTTCCCTCCTTCCCTTTTTCAGTGGTGTGTTGGAAGGATTCTGTCAGACTCTCTTTGGATCTTGGATGATATGTACTACTGCCAGGTCCCCTCAATTCTGCTCTAGATCATCGCTCTTCAAGGTCTTAAAAAATGCTGGGCGGTCCCTAGGAGCCCCGCCGGTTCCTTTTTGCTTCTTTAAATAGCTAAAATAGTGAAAAAAAAGAAGAACACAAGTACACATTGTATTAGTTATTTAGTGTCCATATACCATATTATAGTCCATAATTCATGCAATCGTTATATAGACTCCAAGTCTCCAATGAGACCAAATGACAAATACAAAATGATGCTGTGCAATGGATGCTATACAAATGAGAAGAAAGAGGATATCTTTAATTTCTTAATGTTTTGGTTGTCTAACAAGCTCAAAATCACCCCAAAAGTTTTCTAAAATTTTATTCAGACCCTAAAATTGATTGCCAGGAGAAATGGTAAGGTTTTGGATAATTTTACAAACTTCTCAAAATCTTATTGTTTCAAAAAAAAAAGAAAGAAGCAAAATCGATCAATTTTTGTTGTTTCTAGGGCATAAGAAGAGTTCCTTTTAACTTTTGGGGGTTAGAATACCCCCTTTTCATGGATTAAAATGATACATAATGGCCCAATATAAAAAAAAAAAAAAGAAAAAAAAAAGAAAAGAAAAGAAAGAACAATTCTCGCCATTTTTATATAAGTTCCTGGGCTCCAGCCCAGGACTCGGTGCTGGGCGTCTGCTAGGAACTTCCCCCCACACCTAGGCAAGGCAGCCTATGGCCTCTTAGGCACTAGGGGGCTGCCTAGGCACCGGGCGGGCCGTTTTTCGAAACAATGTTGCTCTTTCGGTAGCCATTTTTTGTATAGGGATCGATGTAAAGACATGCGTTTATCCTTTTGCAATTTCTCAATCTTCATTCCCTTTTTCTGTTCTTTTTGTCTTTAGCAGGTTGAATCTGCCCTTTTTTGGACAAGTAGCGGCATTATGCGAGCTAGCTGTTAGCCTTCATATTCGTATAATATTCAAGTCAAATATTCTCAAAAAATAGTAATAATAATAACTTTATCCCATTTAAGGAGTAAACATTAATAGATTTTAAGGATTTTGTTTTTTCAGAAAAAAATTAGCATTACCCTTTCGTCTTGCAATCAAAATAATTGAAACAAGCATTGCATGTGCTTCTTGCTAGTTTTTTAAAATCAAGATTTGGATAAAAAATGAATGAGACTTTTTAGTATAGATGGTTACTCAAATTCATTGTTAGATTTATATAACAAATTCAAGTATTTTTTATTAAGGGATTTTACCGATGGGATTTTTGGAGAGAGGGTGAGAAAAAGAGGGCGAGATTTTAAGTAATTTGGAAAAGTAAGAGTTGTAAGTAATTTGAAAGTGATACATTTGTTCTCGTATATATGTAGATGAGGGAAAGGAATTCTTGTTTTTAATATTTTTATATGTGGTTCACTGTCTTAGGAAAACTGGGGAATTATTGGAGGGTACTATGTTGAGAAGAAGTAAATCTGGTTATATGTTACATCTTCATTCTGTGTGTATTCATTGATTAGGAAGAATTGGGGGGTTAATTTAGGTCATTATATTTAGAATAAGAATGGGTTTTCTATTGTTTGTCCAGAATTGGCTGCTCAACTTGATGAGGGAAAGGAATTATTAGCAAAAACAATTGCAGATGTTAAGGATGCAAATGGACGTGGGGCTCTTCACTTTGCAGCTCGAGAGGGTAAGACTGAGATATGCAAGTATTTGTTGGAGTTGGGACTGAGCATCGATCCCAAAGATGATTATGGTACTTCTGCTACAAACTTCTCCTCCAGTATTTGTGATGCTTTTATATGTGTCATGTTATCAGAATTATCGTTTTTTATACAGAGATACTTCTATAGATAGACTTATTGTAAAAATTCATGATCTAATGTGTATCTAAGTTGTCCTTTTATGCCTCTCTTTCTCTCTCTCTCTGAAAACTTCTTTGGATGTTAAGGTTGGTTTATCAGTCTCCTTTGTTTTCTTTTAATTAGATTATTTGAGTGGAGAGTTCCAATTGGTTCAAGGGTCCATCAGTAGAATGATTTTGAATGTGGTTTGCGAAGCGATTATAGGTATCATTGGAATTGTAAAGAGATGGTTGTGGGTTCTTCCAAATGTTAGATCCAAGCAACAGACTATTATTTCAAACTAAGAATGCATATGAAGAGAAGAATATGGGAATTGTTCTAGGTTACATGATGTTCATACATTTAGCTTGGGATCCTAGTGGATATCCAAGATAGAACTTGATTTATGTGAGTCAAGACTTAAGGTCTTCAAATTCATTTTACTATGAAAAGTTTGTATTATATTCTTACATATTCTTAGATTGGGTATTCTAAATTAATCATAAAATAAAGGGACATTAATGAAAAATTCTTTTTTTTTTTTTTTTGAATTAAAGAATAGCCCTAAATTTACTACATCTGCATTTAATGCCCAAGTCCTTTTTCTGTCAGATTGTTCCCCAAATTGCCCCTGGTTCAGCACTTGAAGCAGCGATCCGAGTTTCTTTTTCTTCATGTCTTTTAACTATTTTGAGAGAAAATATGGGTTCGGAACTTGAAATGCCGAACACATCTTTTCACAAAAGAAATATTATGTCATGTGGGTTTGGCACCTCAAGTGCCAAACCTTATTTGACACTTAAGAAATTCTTGTGAGTGTTGTGTTCCGCGTTTCAAGTGCTGAACCTAGAACTCACAAAAAATTCAGGACTTGTGAGTTATGGTCCAGTGGAGAATGAATGCTTAAGTGGTTCTTCAATTTTAGGGGTTGTGGTCCCTTAATTGAAGGACTATTTAGACAATGGCGGTCCAAAGACCAAAACCTTTAAGACTTAAATTCTTTTGAGTTTTGGGTAGGGTACTACAATTGCAAGGAGAGATAGATAGCAGTAGAGCCATAGTAAAGCATGAAGTGCTGAACGTACTACACACAAAACTTCCACAAAGTGTCATATGGTTTGGCCTTGGGTTACCAAATCTATCATCATTCGAGCCTTATCCCGACTATTTGCGGCCGGCTACATGAATTCTGTTCTGCCAGTTGGATGAGGATTCATGATAGGGATGTGGCAAAAGTTTTTTGCTGGCTGCCAATCCAGCACAACCCTCCTCTTTTCTTATCTGGGATTGGGACTGGTAATGGTGGAGTTATTATAGTTGCCAAACCCATATGATACTTATAAGTTTTATGTGAAAAGAAGGGTTGGACATTTCATGTGCCGAACCCATCTCTCCTCTCAAAGTAATGGGTTTGGCGTTTGAAGTGCTGGATCCATTTTTGACTTGAAGGAAAAATTTTCGTTTTGCCACTTCAAGTGCAGAACTAGGGGCATTTTACTTGGTGGGGGAAGGGGGGGAGGGAATCTGAAAAAGCGGGGCTTCGGCAAAAAGTATAAAACTTACCGGACTACTTTTAATTCCTACAAATATAGAGGATTTTTACATTAATTTCCCCCAAAGTAAATGATTGAAGGTATCTGAATTCTAAAATATCATAAGAAAATGTCATGCAGCCAAAAAAATTATTGAGACTCCTCTTTTAAATGATTGGATTTTTTTTTTCTCTCAAAAAAAAAATATCATATTTTTTTGCATGCTTTGCAGGTGAGACTCCTCTTGTTCATGCAGCCAGACAGGGACACTTGACCACTGCTAAATATCTACTTGAGCATGGTGCAGATCCCACAACTACTTCTCATGAATTGGGGGCTACTTCCTTGCATCATGCTGCAGGAACAGGTCTTTGGCTTCTTTTCCTTGTTCAGAACTTTCTTATTTATATAATTTGATGGATGAAGTGCAGCCACTCGAGATTTTTAAGGTTGATTCTGTTTACCTGGATCCATTTTCTCTACACATGGGAATAATCTCTATTATCATGTCAAACGTGCAAGGCTTATTTTCCTTTTCTCTCTAGTTGCTTCGTATTATCTGATGATATACAAATGTGTTTACATGACAGTTCCTTTACCTCTCTGACTAGTTTCATGGTTTAGGAACGATAGATTTTTTAGTACATGTGATGATCTAGAGATCTACATATACTGAGGGGTTAGAAGTTGGTGATTTTTGCTGGCCTTGCTTCTTCTATTTCATAAGACAATTTTGAAGTAGAAACTGATTAGAATAGCTTTGAGCTTTCCTAGTTTTTTGATCTTCTGGTGAAATCATAAGCTGCATAATATGGTTGCAGGGTGTAATGAGTTGCTGAGCATCTTACTTTCTAAGGGGGTTGATGTGGATACGCCTAGTGATGCTGGTACTCCACTGATTTGGGCGGCAGGTAATTGCAAGCAAGGCACTGTGAAGACTTTATTGGAGTACCATGCTAATGTAAGGCATTTTCCAAAGTTCATCATCCTTGGTGATTGCCATCTTAAATGCTATTTTAAAGTGGATTTAGGAGTTTCTTCCTTTAAGCCTCTCATAAAATAAGTTGTGTTAGATGGTATTCAATGGAGAGTTGTCAGATTGAGAACATAAGCCTAAAAGGTATTACAATACCAATTCATTGTCACAGAATAATAGTTGCTGGAGCTTCATAATGTTTTTCCTGAAAAACACAATGAAAAGCATATTACGACGAATATCTGTTGTCTGCCGTCCATGACAAAAGAGAACTAGACAGTAAATCAAAGCTGTTCTCCCTGTTTCAAGATGATTTGAGAAACCTCGCATGAGAATTTGCCTACTTCGATCTGCAAGGCACTTTTTCTGGAGCACTGATAACCAATTCAGGGTCAATTTTATTGATCTCTGCTTCTAACAGAATAAAGTCACACAATCAGGAAGCAAGTAAGGAATAGGACCTGAACTCAAGAGAACCATGTTATAGGACTTTGACACCATATGTGAACAACAAAATGGATGAAACAGTGCATGGAAGGATGTATTGCTTGCATTGAGCAAATGATATTCTTACAGAAATGCTATTGGAGTATTGGGTATTTCTTTTGGGTGGGTTAGCTATGTATTCATACGTGGGATGTGTTGCTGCAATTGTCAACGCTCTTACCTTTCAAGCTTGGTTCCCAACTATGAGGTAGATATTCCTTTCAGTGAAATAATGAAAACTGGCCCTATGGGTAATAAAAACTGTAACGAGTACATAATTTCCAATGCCCTCCTTAGCGGGGGGAATTGAACTGTAGATGTGTTGCCGCATTTGTCAACACCTTAACCATTCAAGCTTGGTACCCATTCTCCACTAATAGGTAAATAATCCTTTCATTAAAATTAGTAAAAATGCCCTTTATAGGTATAAAGGGCTGGAGAAATATGTAATGTTGAGTGTACTGAAAGTAACCCTAAATTTTCATGCTCTTGATAGATGAGCTTTTCTTGTGCTTGTAGTAAAGTTCCTGTTATATTGAGCTTATACATGTGTGATGTGTTCCTTTTTCTTTTGCAGCCTAATGCTGAAACTGAGGACAATATTACCCCTCTTTTATCTGCTGTGGCTGCTGGGTCATTGGAAAGTTTGGAGTTGCTGGTTCAGGTGAGACTCTTTTTAAACTAGTAAGGGCATCATTATGATGTTTGGTTGATTCTAGAAAGTTCTCTTGCCTAACAATATTGTTTTCGTATAATTCTCTGGGGAATTGTTGTCTCCTCTTGAATGAGGGGAGAATTGGAAACATTATTGTATTATATATTTTATGTGCAATTACAAGCACCACAAATATACAGGCAAATGACATGCAACTTTAGGTACTAAACTACACATTTGAAGCACCAGCTATATATGACGAATAGAATAGAGTAGGAAATTGTCCCCTATCTGCTTTCTATGGATTTCTGCTGCGATTATTGTGGATATTTGTAACTTTGCTTGATTTTAACAAGGAATATTTCTCGGTACATTTATCTATTTAAATATTCTGATCTTGTGTGCAATGAAGAAAAAAAAGAGATATTCTGATGTTTTATTCATATTATTTGCAAAAGAAATCACTCAAATAGCTTCGACCATGTTATTTTCTATGCAAGTCACATGATAACCGCTAGTATAATTTTGCAGCATGAAAAACAATTTGATACAAATACTTGAAAGTTCGATTTTCTGGATAAGAAAGTCCATAGGTATTGGATTATTGTGGTTCAGTATTGCTTTGCCATATTGTTAACTAGGATTTTGTTCATGTGAGCAAATAAAATGATTTTACTTGTATTGTGGTATGGCTGATTTTGGTTTTCTGTGTTTGGGGATCTTGAAATACTTATTGGGCTTCTAAATCCTGTGCCTAACTGATATCAAATATTGTTATCACTCACCAGTAACAGGAAGAGGGAGAGATCTGTTATTCTAACCTCCAAAGAAAGATGTGTATTATTGTAGTAAGCATCACAGTTGTAATCATCACTATCATATCTTTGATGACCTGAATTTTTTACCTTGGTTTCTTTTTTTCTTGTACAAATATTTTTATGGGATGCATTTCTCTGTTTTGCAAGATGACTAATATATTTATGTGATTATAGTACTGACGTCTCATTTTCTTCATATAGGCAGGTGCTAATCCGAATGCTAGTGCAGGTGGAGCAACATCATTGCATATTGCAGCTGATGGTGTAGATGTAAGAATAACTAATTGCTTATTGAAAGCTGGAGCTGATCCGAATGCCATTGATGAGGTTTGGCTCCTGGCATGGACTTTTTTCTTGGCTTTGTTAGCTATTCTTATCTCTGGGTCCAAGTTAGTTTCGGTCACATTCATATGTTTGTGATTGATATTCGTGAACTAATCATCCAATTTAAGGTTGCAATAGCAACTAGGAATCTTTATAAATGTTTCCTTTAGACCTTAACTATCAAGAAAATGATCCTTACAGAATGTAGCGTATGCAATAAAGTAGAAAGATATATAAAACCTATTTGTATTTGCATTTGTGAAATGGCTGTGGTTTTAAAGTGATGTGTAATTCGTACAACACATGACACCCCAATTATTTAAAGCAGTAAACTTTGTCTTAGTTGAGGTTCTCACGTCCTTAATATGTTTTTTAAAGTGAAGTCTTTTCTGGATAAATTTGTCTAGATGTAGACCAAAATCCAACTTGCATTAGGAACAACCAGAATCAACAAGAGTACCAGCAGGCAGCAGTAATTTCTTCCTGTATTAGAAATCCTGATTACCCAATCAAGACGAAGAGGAAGAGACAGGCTTGACATTTAGAAATAGCGCTCTTATTAGGGTCAAATCAATGCATAGATAATGCTTTGGATGGAAACAAAAAAAGTGGTTAAGGACATTCCTAATACAAAGCCTAACATTTGTCAGAATATTAACTTTGGTGGTAAGACTACGGCAGTACTTCATGGACGCGAACTTTATTCACTGCAATTGAAGTTCCCATAAGAAATGCTGATGATCTTTAATGTGGAATCTCTTGTAGGACAAGAAATAGCTGTTTTTGGCATCATTATTTATGGAGTATTTTTACCACAGGATGGGCTGAAGCCAATACAAGTTGCCGCAGGGAGGGGTAACCGTGAAGCAGTTGAGGCACTTTTCCCTTTGACATCCTCCATTCCAGGAATTTCAAAGTGGAGCATTGAAGGAATAATTGCACATACAGAGTCACAAGCTGCCAATGAACCGGTAATTTGCACATTCTTGGGCATTAAATCACTTCAAATGTTCATTAAGTTACCAATTGTATCTAGTTACTCGTCTCTCACACAGTGGATGAATTAAGTTTTGCTTTATTATTTTTTTCCTTCTACTATATATTTATCATCATGTTGGGTTTTAACTTACTGTCTGATGTAGAGGGAGTTGGAAACTTCAGAGAGAAGTGAAATTTCAATGGAGGCCAACTCACAAAAGCAAGAGATGATTGAGGTAACTCCCTTGCTGACAGTTGGATATTATTTGTGCTTTAGTTACCATTCCAAAGAACAAATTATTCTATTGGGGTTTTTTCTTCTCTGTCAATTTGGATTTGTGCAGAACCTTTCTTCAAATTGTGGAAATGCAAATTTGAAGAAAAATGGACTTCACCATTGGAGATTTTATTGTATTTTGTTATAAAGTAGAAATCACTTTTTTGCTTTTAAGTAGTTACACTATTATTGCTGCTGGATTTCGCGGTCAGGAATTCAATATGATTTATTAGCTCACAAGAACTTTTCATGAAGTAACCTTGCATCTGTATCCTCAATTTTACCACTGGGCACTACATTCCAACTCTTTGCAATGGTTAGTTTTTGTTGTTTTCTTCCCTAGATAACCAAAAGTTTGGTTATGCTAGTTCATAGAACCTTTAGCTGCCATAAAGATCTTTACTCCATGTTCATATAATTGTTGATCATAGACAGACGTGGCTAACCGCAAAGAAACCAGAAACCCCTAACATAAGGTGAACATAAACAAGATGAGAAACCACTGAGATCTTTCTGGGACTCCACTGAAACATCTTCAAGTTTTCGTCAAATTACACCAAACTCAAAACACCTAGGTCATGCAATTGCAGCTCTGACCAATCATCTGGTGACAGGAATTGAGGGCCCTGGTCCACACCAACAACCGTAATGTAGAGTGGAGAGAGTGATTATGTTGATTTATCCATATGGATTTGTTTTTTTTAATTTCAACTACTAGGAGGATGGTGTCAACATTATTTCCAGCAAGGGCCATAATTTGTTAGTTTAATGACTTCATATTTAATTAAAAAATTGGAAGATTTTTAGATGTCTCATTTCCTTGTGTGGACTATTCTCTCCTCTAATGGATTGCTTTTGGTTGAAATCAATTATGTAGTGTTAAATACTTGTAAATGCTAGTTACTATACTATTTAACAAGTAGGGAAAATGCCTAGAGAATGTAACGATGCAAGCTGTCAAACAACACCCTAAACCAGTATCCTTTGAAATCGCTATATATATATATATATATATATATATATATATATATATATTACGTAACTAGTATTAGTTTATTGTACTACTTCCTACCCGTACGAAAGGAAGGTAACGGTTAAACCGGTTTAAAACCCGTTAGTTTAGGTTTAGG